CTCAGCTTTAGGTGCCTCCTTGGTCGTGACCCCAGGGTCCTTGTTTAGAATCATTTCACAAAGTGCTATCCATTCTCATCACACAGAAGAGCTCTGTATTTTGCTAATACAGGCATGTTTTTGCTTACAACAGTATTTCTTATACTGTCCTTAAGCGTTTTGCATTAAGGTTTTCATCATTTTGTGTGGAAACGCCTTTGCAACCTTACTTGGCCTGGAAACATTCAGGGAATGCATAAATACCTTGGCCCATAGTTGCACATCGTTCCTTGGGGGTCCCACTGCGAGGACACCAGTGTCTGCCTCCTCCAAGACAACTCTTGACCCCTCTTTCTGTTTTTTCAGTGAACCATTTTAGCATCACTTGTAGGCAGGCATGACACTTTATTCTGAATATTTTAACATATTCCTCTAACTTGCCATTATTAACTTGCCAATAAATAACCATTATTACATCCAAGAAAATTAACATTAATTTTCAGATATTATCATATATTGTCTATATCTGAATTTTTCCCATTTTCACCCTTAATGTATTTTATAGCTTTTTTATGAAAAACAAACAAAACAAAAAACAGGATCCAAAGAAAATTCACACATTGCATTTTATTGTATTATTTCTTTAGTATCCATAAATTTAGAAGAGTCTCTTCACCCTTTTCTTTTTTTCTCCTCTTCCTGAATTCCTAATATTTTAATTTTGGGGAGTCTTGTTGTCATGTAAATTGGTATTGTCTGTTGTATTCTAGATTTGTTCAATTATTTATTTATGGTGTCAGTTAGTTTAGGACAAGTGTCAAGTTAGATTTTATAGGCTTTTTTAAAATCAGAGGAATTTCGAGGCAGAGATGTCAGTGAGTTTCCTGAGAGTTTGTTTAATGCAATAGTTTGTGTTCTGGGCATATGATTTTTACTAAAAAGAGAAGAGTAGATATAAGTACTCATAATTTTAGATTTTAACTTGGAGGGGGGTGAAGTGATTGAGAGAGAAGTGATTAGTTTTGCTATATTTTAGCCATTTCTAATTTATAAGATTATTTGCAGCTACAGATGTACAAATATAACAATCTGAGTGATTAACAGAATTAATCAAGAATGACTTGATTCTGTGGTCCCTTGACACAGATGTTTTCACATCTAAGAAAATCCTGAGTAATTCCTGGATAGTGTCTAGGTAGTGGGGATTCCCATTTAATTGAAACATGGGACAAACACTGGGAAAAGGTTAATTTACAGCGAGCACTTTAATCCTCACTATTACTCTGTGTTCAAAATTTTGTTTTGATGTGTTGGTTAAGTCTAAGTCAGTAATTGTATCCTGGAACTGAAAATAAGGGTATAGATGAAATGATTTCTGTTTGGTCAGGATTTGGGGGCTTTGTTTTTATTTTCACTGTTCAGTTTGTTATGTGAATGTTTTCACTTAGCAAACATGAGGAGTAAATACTTTGTGGATTTGAATAGGATATGATCCAAACTATCTGTCTGTGTATCTTTATATGTCTATATCAAGTCATAAACAGCATGTAGGTGCTGTGCTGTGGTTATGAACATGAGCACAGAGTAGTAACCCTAATATACACAGGGATTTGGAAAGGTGTTTGAAGGAAATGACACTTAAGCAAACCAGGCCTTGAAAGATGATTAAGGATTCACCAAAGCAGAGAAAATTGGAAAGAATATATTTTATAATGTGTCTTTATTAAACTTTTACTGTCACTTTCTGACCTGCAGGAGACGAAGGGAGCATGCCAGCAGATATAGCCACATTACTAAAAACGTCAATGGGCCTGTGAAATAAGAATTGAGAATTCCTGACTGATGACAAAGTATCAACTTGGTGCACTCAAGGACATTTACATTATGATGACCATGGGGTTTATGAACATTTGTAACTTTTTATAATTTCCATATTACATTTCTCATAGTATGGACAACTTTTTTGCCACTAACTGAATTCTCCCGATGCTCACATGTGAAATTTCAATAAAAGCCACAAATATGTAGTCCTAAAGATGTTGAATAATCATTTTACAAAGCAGTTTTCTGAATGGGGATTAGTTGGTGATTGTTTGTAACAAATATGCTAATGCTTTAGAAATGTCAGTATTTTTGTAATTATTTCTACCTCCAAATATATATATATTGTCTTTCACTGGATAATGTGTGTAGATTTTTACATGTGCCTTATTTGACAATGCTTAAGTCTTGTTTTTGCTTGTCTCATTTGAAGTTCTTTTTTATTACGTTAGTTTAAAGAATGCAGCTGTATAGATTATATAGCTTTCATTTTATTGCTATTTGAAGCAGATGTTCACCAATGTCAACAAGAACTCAACCTGAATTTAAAGGTGGCATTCCATATACTAACACCCCCAGGTCCTCCCAAGTACTTCTGTTAAAACAAATTTGTTTGGCTAGGCACTAAGTTGTTTTCCAGTGAATAGTAATTAAAGAAGCCCTTATCTTGCTCCATGGATTAATTAATTCCTTCTGTTCATTTCCCCACTGCACTAATTGTGCATATTACTCTACCTATTGTGCATGTGTTCATTGATTTCCCTCTCCTGGCTTTTGCTTCTCTTGAAACTGTTGCCCAGTCACTTCTGCTCCAGTTCTATTTACTCTGAATAGTAGTTTATTCTGCCACATCTCCACACATCACTAAAATGTTGGTGACATTTTTTTCTAGCCTGGCAGAACAGATTAACAGGCTATTTCACTTCAAAGCAGACTGTGATTTCATTATTAAAGAAGCATTAGGTACTGCATGGAAATACATTACTAACGACATTCTTATCAAAATATGATTTACCAGTTTCCAGAATTTCCAGTACAGGACCTCCTGAAGAGAGAGCCATTGTTCAATTCCAATTCAGTGTGGGTGACAAAGTGAAACTTAGAAGAAGTAAAGTTGTCTACTTGATATTTAACTCTTTATTAAGTCTTTCTTTAAATTTTTGCCTGTCAGTCTATATTGCTGTTTTTATTACACATCGGTTTCTTTGTATAACTTGTGAGTTTCATGTGCTTTGTTTTTATTATGTAAATATCATTATAAATAAAGTTATTTATAAATCAAAGATTTGTTAATTATTGGAGATTGTACTTTCAAGGCATCCTGACTTGCTAAAATGCGAAGGTAATATAGTCCTCTGGAGTTAGAAGGCTAATCTTACAGTGATTTTTGAGATATGATGGGCTCTGAAAACTCATGACTCAGTGGACTTACCCAATCTTGATGGTATGTTGAACATATTCCATTTATTATAGTATAATGGCAGCTAAAGGAATCTGAAAATATGATTACCACTTCCTCCTGCATCAAAGTACCTGAATCACTTCCTCAAATTTGGGGAAATAATTACCTTTTAAAATCTTACAATTGCTTTCTCATAACTTTTCTGTATTAATGTACCTTCAGTGATAGGCTATTTCTTTTGTTAAATCCATATTTTTATCTTTAATAAAATGTAGTTGGGTTCTATCTGTAATAATTTATCATATCTTGGGCTTAATAAGAATATTTGTCTTCCTAACTTGTATTTTCACACCCCTTTTAATAGTTTCTAACCCTCTCTCCCTTTACCCTTAAAAATAGATAATATTGAGTACGAATGAGATCATATTATGTGCTTAATACTGTCTATTTCTCAATAATCTGGAATTTATTACTTAGGGTCTATTCTCATTAGCCCCTTCATTGAACTGATATCAGTAAATATACCCCATTAATTAGTAAAGAGCATATAAGGTCATGGGGTTGGAGTAGGTATATTTGCCAACTGAAGCGACTTGAACATTTTTGGTGTAAGTCACACAGAGATGGAAGACATATACCTTATATGTTTTTATAACTGTATTCCTAACCCCATTGAATTTTAACTTTAGGCAAGTAGATATTTATATTGAAACTTTAATATTGTTTGTAGTTGTTGGTGTTACTGTGTAATGGTTAGATAGGAGTATCGGGAGATTTGGTTTCCATTTGTGTGATCTTAAGCAAAAAATAAATGGTCCATAAAATTAATAAATTGTTTTTTTTTAACTATTCCCAAAATATATGGGTTTTTTTCTGATTATAACATGGAATTAAATTTCTGTTCTGATTTCATTCATATTCTCTCTCACTTGCTCAATTTCTCAGTAAGGAGACATTTGAATACAAAATATGTTGTCTATCAGTGAAAAGGGACAACCTAAAAGATTATGGTGATGCTATGATTGAGATGAAATACTTCCTTATGAAACCTGCTGTGACTGCATTTATTTGAATTGATTTGTGTAAACAAATGGGACTGATTATCGTATTTTGAATTTTCATAATTTTAGATAAATGTATGTTACTAAATTGTTATTAAAGCTTTTCAGAATGTAATTAAGTACAGGAAAATGAACATGCACAAGAAGAAGGAAAAGTTACTACCTACATGATCTAGAGTACTATTTAAGTTTATTTTGTGAAAAGACACTTTCTTTTCTTTAGACTTCCTTGACTTGATGAGTATTTTGTAATGAGATTCACCTATAACCTATTATTTACTGTACTTTCATCTTTGTTAGTAAGACCCCTTTTTCAGTTATTCACTTTTGTAAAATGTCAAATGGTTTATCACTGATAAACAAACAGGTGATACCACTAAACGCTATGGTCTGTGCTGAATAAACGTGCAGTGACCAGTCACAGGCTTTGAGAGAAGAGGCGTCATCGGTCATGGTCCTGCTGTGCATCTTATTTACATAGTGATTTGTGGACTGAAGAGCTAGCAGCCAGGTTTATACTTTAAGCAATAACAGTTAATACACCATGGTAACTGAAGTTCAAACCATTTTGGGGGGAAATGTGTTATTTAATAAGCTATCATGATTGAAATTCATATATGTCAGAAGCAGTGAAAGGCGAGGCCTGCCTAAAACTGTTTTTCCTCAGTTGTAAATGATGTGAAACTATTCTGGGAAAAGAAAAAAAAAGGATACTGGCCGACTAAATGCTCTTTTTTTATTTTCAAGAAGAATATGGCAGAAGTGGAAGTCCCGATGGAGCAGGGAGGGTGTACCCAGGAGGCAGGCTGATGTAGCTAATCTGATGGTTGTGTTGCTGTGAAGAACAGCATTGCTGGAGGCAGCAGGCATCACCTAGAGTCTGGTTTGGGGCCTTAGTTGCATCCAGTCAGCAATGGCAGGGATGGCTTGGACTTTCTTCCGTAGCATCACCAGCCTGGGATGGATGTCCAACAAGTCAGGTTTAAAGACCAAAAGTGTGGTGCTGCAAATTTCCCAGTAGAAATCTGCCCACGTTACCTAGTTTAAAGGAAACAAAAATTTCAACTTAAACATAAAAGGCATAACTTCTTAATCTAAAAATCACTTCTTTTTAATTCAAAGTAATATTTTGTTATTACAAAAGTGAGATGTTAGTGAGTCACATCTGGACTCCATCTTGACCAGAACTCCATCTTAGAGACCTTTCTGACCCCTTGCTTACAGTAAAATTTTGTAATTGAAATTAACCTAACCACATCCTTAAAGGAAAGATTGTACAATGGTAACATCCTTTCTTAACATCATATTCTGCAAAGTTGTTTTTTTCAAATAGTGGTAACTGGAATGTTTGCCCAAGCATTATCACAGGCCCATTGAGTGGTCCACTGACTGAACACGTCTGTGACTTCCCCAGGATCAACCACCACCAGATGACGGTCGTGGGACAACTGGCCTCATCCTCACTCCCAAGCCCTACACCCACGCCAAGGCCCCTGGTAAGCCATCCGCAAGAACCCCTCGTGGAGCTCAACTCCCTTGTGCACAAGCTCTTTCCATGACATTGAGAAGAATCTGGCATTCAAGGTCCAGTACGTGTGTGATAGAAAATGACAGCACCATACTCTCAACACCTAGAGGTTACTAATATTAACACGTCTGTGTACAAGGTATTCTGCGAGTGTGTGCATTTTTACTAAGATGAGACCTTAAAGAATATACTCTTGTAACTTGACTAATCTCCACCTCTCTGGCTATATTTTCATGTTATCTAATACCTGGTCAATACTTTTCCATCTGTTCCAAAAATGTTCTTCATAGGACAAAGCAGATTCCATTCCAGGACCATGCATTTCATCTCTCTAATTCAGAACAGTGCCCGCCCCCCCTGTTTCATGTCACTGAAGATTCCAAACTAGTCCTGTCCAATGTCTTCAGCAACTGTGGTATTCTCTCGTGTCTTGTTTACCCTGTTCTTCACACTGCAGGCTGTGAAGGGATAGGGTACAGACTGTCCCCAGAGAGCTCATAGTTTCAAGTTAGTATTTCTGGCTAACACATTATATTGCATCACATCAGAAGACAATATAAAAGTGTCTGGCTGTATGTGGAACCCTAAGATGGACCAAAATGATGGCCAGGTTTTACCTTTGTACACTTTTTGATCCCTTCGTGACTAGAAATTAATCTGGATGACGTTACTTTGGCTCAAAGAATGAAGTTTAAATGTGTACTAGTAGCTTGCTTTTTGTGTGGAATTTAACAATGCTTACTGTTAGTATTTTATGACCTTGCTTGCTGAACACCTGGCAGCAGGAGAGTGTTGGTGAGAGCATTCAGACTTCAGTGAACACACATTTCTGGAGCACCTACTGCATGCTCCGTATTGTTCTAGGTGACTAGAGCCCCTTCTCTGATGCAGCTCTTATTTTAGAAGCAGGAAGACAACTGTGATGATAGGGTGATGAAGAACTGAAGTAGGAGAGGGACTCTCACATGGTCGGGGAGGGGAGACCATCAAGAGGTGACATGGAAGCCACGGCTTGAACGATACAAAGGATCAGAATGTGCAGCCATCTGGGGATGAAACCAGGCAGAGGGAACAGCACATGCAGAGGCCCTTAGGTGGGAGTGGGTTTGTGTCTGAGGAATAAACAGAGCGCCAGTGTGTTTGGAACACTGTGAGGAAGGGAGAGGGTGCAAAGAGATGGGCTCAGGAGAAAGTCCCTAAAGGAACTTGAAGGCAAAACAGAAAAAACATTTCAAGTCCTTGGAAATGGTCCGATCAATAGGGCCGGCAGAGGAACATTTCAGGAAAGGCTGTTGAGGAGGGCTGTGTGGTGAGGTGGGAAGCTGTGTCAGACGAGGAAAGTTTGCTTCTCACCCCCGAAGGACCCAGCACACCGTGATCAGAGCAGTCACAAGAGCGCCACAAACAGAGTCTGTCTTATCTTCTAGTCCCTAAAGGCAGGGACCCTGACCTACCACAGCATGTAAATCAGATGTAGATTTGATTTTTTTCCCCACATAATTACTTCATAGATGGTGGTGTGTTCTTCTATCAGTCTATCCGTAATATCTGGTTGTCTCACTTTTTATGATATTAAAAATTATTGATACTCAAAGCCTTGATACATTAATTCACCAGGGGTTGGGAAATGAAGATATTTTAATCTCTCCTAACTTATTAACAAATGTTTTTATGAAGACAAAGTTTAGCCATCAATTTTTGTTATCTTGAGGTACAACTGGCTTTATTCAAACTCCCCCATTTTTATGTTCATTTTTAAGTTTTCAGAATAATAAATGTGTTCTGTAGCATCTTCTAAAAGTAACCAGTGAGCCCTGGCTGGTTTGGCTCAGAGGTTAGAGCGTTGACCCGCCGACCAGAGTCCTGGCTTCGGTTTCCGCTAAGGGCACGTACCTCAGTTGCAGTTTGTCCCCAGCCCCGGTTGGGGTCGTGTGGGTGGCAACCAGTCAATGTGTCTCTCTCACATCGATGTTTCTCCCTCTCTCTTCCTCCCTCTCTCCCTCTTGCTCTGAAAGTAAATGCAAAAGAATGTCCTCGGGTGAGGATAAAAAATTTTTAAAAATAAATAAAAGTAACCAGTGAAATTTTGGTCTTGGGTTTGTATGTGTGTTTGGTTGTGGTAGTGGTGGTTGTCATATTCATATATTCATTCATTTTGATTTGTTTCAATCCATTGCAGTTAACATTCTTATTATAGCTTGAATTATCTTTGGCCAGTTGGGGCATCATCAAGTTGACTTCTGAGACCTTTTGACACAACCCCAGTTGTCTTTGATGATTTATTTCCTGCTGGTATGACAAGGCAATCCCAGTTCATCTTTTACATTTCCTGCCCCAAATTGAGAGCGAGTCGCTCTATAAGAAGCCGTGATTCTATCTGAAGCCTAGAATCTAGGTCTTAGGGGTGCCCAGGACTACCGTATTTGTCATTGTTTCGAGAAAAAGAGATACTAAATGCATTTTTCTTGATCCTAAGATAAAGTACATCATGAATTTATACTGTTGCATCCAGGCCACATTCAGAAATAGAATGTTTACTTGACCTCACTGATCTTACATGTCATCTTTCTCCCACACTGAAGACCCTGCTTCTCAATGATATCCACGCAATTTCTTATTCCTTCCCCCCACAATACAGGTATAATAATGTCAGAAAAATAATACCACTGTACCAGTACCACCAAAAAATACAATCACTGAAAATAATGTACAACTTTTATTTATTTTTGTCCTGAGAGTATGTCTGTGAGATGTATAGTCACATTACCATGTTTTACATGTGATGCTATTTCTTAAAGTAGTTCTTCACTAATTGGATATGTAAGTACTTCTTTATATACTCTATGCATCAATTTGACATAGATTTGTTTCATTGTGCTTTGCAGTGAGAGCTTTCTAAAATGTTTTTGTGATTGTTGTTATATAATTATATAAAATATTTTAGTTTATGGTTTCAAAGTTAAGTCCACCAAAAATGGTTTAGTCACATAATTTTAGCTTTTATCTCTGCTCTCTTATTCCCGCCCTATGGGTAATGTTTTTTGTTTTTGTTTTTTTTTTTTTATCCTCACCCGAGAACATTTTTCCATTTTTCATTCAGGTAGAGTGGGAGGGAGAGAGAGGAAGGAGAGAGAGAGAGAAACATCGATGTGAAAGCGACACATCGAGTGGCTGCCACCCGCACGACTGACCAGGGCCGGGGACAAACTGCAACCGAGGTACGCGCCCTTAGCGGGAACCGAACCAGGGTCTCTCAGGACCGCAGGCCGACGCTCTAACCGCTGAGCCAAACTGGCCAGGGCTGGGTAACGTTTTTTTTTTTCATTACATGTTTATGTCTTTGGTTTATCTTCATATATATGAAGATATATATATTTACTTGAGTTTTTTAAGATGTACAACACACTCACGGAGTTACCAGTGAACCACTCTTTTTCCCCTAAGTACGCGTCCAAATCTCGCAGAAGGGGAGGTCCGTCGTGTGTAAGCAGCTCATGAAACATCTGCTCCTAAGGGGGAGGAAAAGACCACTTTAAGAATAAGAATAAGAAAAATACATAACATGATTTAAAAAGGAAGTACATTTTTTCTTTATTTTTCCACGTGAGTTCAGAGAGGACGAGATATAGTGATGTGTTAGTGTTTTTGTTTTGTTTTTTAATGTATGACGTCATGGAGATTCAGGTCTGATTCTCTGTAGATCTCAGTCATCCCTTTATCACTCATGGATCAAACAATAAATACTTTTGTCACCAGTTCTTATTTCTTGTTATATAATGACCAAACATCTCACCCATAAAATCTTTTCATGATTTTTACCTTACTTGTTGTTCATAGAAATGATTCTATTACGTTTTTACATTTCTAAAATTAATTTTATTCTGTAAGGCTAGATTCCTCCAGTTTGTCGGCCTTTCATTTCGCCTTTGCACCCACCAGAGGTAATCCGTAGTGACCCACGTGCTCCGGGCCTTCATGGATACTTTCTCTTTGGCTTGGTATTGGGCCTTAGTATGAGATTTGTCTGCCTTGAGTATTATCTACAAAACCCATCCTCTAGAGTACCCCTTTTGCTGCATTCTGTAAGGTAATATACAAACCAAATAAAATCCTTAGAAAAAAATTAACAGATATATCCATTAAAAAAAATATATCTTTGTGTTTTTACTTGAATCTTTGAAGACCAAATAATTTATGCATGGCCTATTTCTTGGTGTTTGTTTATATGTGAACATTTTGATTGGTTTGTATCCTGGATATGAAATATAAGTCAAACTAAAGAAATATTATTAAAAGTATATAATTGATTAATATTCACACACGACCTATGCAAGCACTTCCCTGGGGTGCCCTCTGCAGAGCGTGTTTTTAACAATTAGAAGGCATGTGGCGGCCGTGTTGGAAAAGTCTGTGGTGTCATTTTTCCAGCAGCATTTGCTTACTTCATATCTCTGCGTCACATTTGGTCATTCTTGCAACATTTTAAGCTTTTTCATTTTTATTATATTTGATATGGTGACCCGTGATCAGTGATCCTTGATGTTACTATTGTACTTGTTTTGGGGAGTCCCGAACTGCACCCATATAAAAGGGCAAACTTAATTTATAAAGTATGTCCTGACTGCTCCACCCGTCTTGCTCCCTCTTCCCAGGCCTCCCTATTTTCTGAGATACAACAGTATTGAAACTAGGCCAATTAGTAAGCCTACAGTGGCCTGTAAAAGTTCAAGTGAAGAGTTAGTCCAGCCCTAGCCGGTTTGGCTCAGCGGTTAGAGCGTCAGCCCGCGGTCTGGAGAGACCAGGGTGCAGTTCCCGCTAAGGGCATGTACCTCGGTTGCAGTTTGTCCCCGGCCCCGGTTGGGTCGTGCGGGTGGCGCCTACTCGATGTGTCCCTTTCACGTCGATGTTTCTCTCTCTCTCTCTCTCTCTCTCCCACTCTATCTGAACAAAATATCAAAAATATTCTCAGGTGAGGATAAAATTTTTAAAAAAGAGTTAATCCATGTGGCAAACTTCATTGTTCTTTTTTTAAATTTTATTTTTTTATGTTTTTACTGATTTTAGAGAAAGAGAGAGAGAGAGACATCAATCAGTTGCCTCCCATAAACACCCTGACTGGGGTCCGAACCCGCAATCTGGGCATGTGCCCTGACCGAAAATGAAACCACGACCTTGTGGTATCCGGGACAACACTCAACCAGGGTCAGTCACACCGGCCAGGGCTCACTGTTGTTTTATTCTAAGAAAATGACACAGCCACCCCAACCTTCGGCAGCCACTGCCCTGGTCAGTCAACAGCCATCAGCATCAAGGTAAGATCCTCCCCCAGCAAAAGATTATTTCTCACTGAAGGCTCAGATGAAGGTTTTTTGTTTGTTTGTTTGTTTTTAAGAGATAGAGAGATAGAAACATCAACATGAGCGAGAAACATCCATCAACTGCCTCCTGCACAACCTACTGGGGATGGAGCCCACAACCCGGGCATGTGCTCTAACTGACAATCGAACCAGGACTTCTCAGACCATGGGACGACCCTCGGTCCACTGAGCCACACCAGCCAGGCTCAGATGAAGCATTTTTTAATCAAGGTATGTACTTTTTTTTAAAGATATAATGCTATTACACATTTAATAGACTACAGTATAATGTAAACAGAATTTTATGCTCTGGAAAACCAAAATATTTGTGATTCACTTTATTGAGATACTCATTTTATTACAGTGGTCTGGAACCAAACCTACAATATCTCTGAAGTATGCCTGTAATAAAATCCAGCCTTTATTGAGGTAAGTTGGATAGTGGATAACTATCTCATCAATTTGTTGATTTGCTTCCTGTTATTATTATGACTCAGCAAGGTAATATAGGTTACTGTAACAATGCCTTATAGTTGTAGAGTACCATTTGCAAGAGCATCATTATATATTTATATATATTTGCCAGATTTTACAAACTCAAGCTGGAAATCTCGCTATTTTTTTTTACTTTATATTCTTTCCACTGGTCTATACCACTTGGTACATAAATTTCTCTCTGCCTGGTTAATATATTTGTAGTTTTAAATAAAACAGTATGAGTTCTTCTGCCCCTTACACAGACTTTCTGAGCTAACACAATGGGCCCAGAGCTGTGTGGCACCTGCCACAGCTCCGCTCCGCTCCGCTCAGCATTCGTGGGAAAGGAAATGCCAGCTTGGCTGCCCAGCACAGCCAGAACAGAAAGGGATGTCACCGCTGGACAGCTTTCCAAAAACTCCTGTGCGCTCACCTGGGTAATTCTGTTACTTTTTCTTTTCTTTTTATTTTTATTCTCACCCAAGGACACTTTTGCATTTATCTTCAGACAGAGTGGGAGGGAGAGAGTGGGGAAGAGAGAGAGAAACATCACCATGAGAGAGACACATCGACTGGCTGCCACCCACATGACCTCAACCGGGAGCCGGTGCAACTGAGGTACATGCCCTTAGCAGGAACGGAACCCGGGTCTCTCCAGACCGCAGGCTGACGCTCTAACCGCTGAGCCAAACCGGCCAGGGCCAAAGCATTGTTTTTAAACCCACACTACCAAAATCAGTACTGGAAATGGACATTCCTTTAATCCTGCTCATCCTCCATCCCACCCCCACCCCTCTTCTTCAGATGAGGAAACTGAAACAGAGACATTGTATAACCAAAGAAATGCTAGTGGTAAGATCAAAGATTATCAGGGTGACCAAAGTCCAGAGACATATTTTGCCTTTGAAATTAAATTTAAATTAATTTTTAATTCAAAATGGAATTATTAGTAATCAATACTAAAACATTTATAATTATGTATATTTGATAGATTTTTAAAGCACATGTAATAAGAGAACTATTATTATTCATTTTTACTGCATCAATATCCTGCTGTTGAAAATTTTACCTGACCACAAGGTGGCAGCAATGCAACCCATTACAAGGAGGCCAGGGGACCAAATACAAAAACCTACGCCGTTTCATTGTATACAGTACTAGCCAGGTTCTGCTTATTAATCAGACAGTCTGTAGTTATTTGCAATATTTCTGAAACAACTTCTCTCTTCATATAATTTACTCATGAGCTTGGATTATGTCCTGTGAAATTTTTTTTGAGGTAGATTTTATGTAAGAGCATTGTTATTCTCATACAAAAGTACGATATTACCCTCATCACAAACACGCAAAGAACTTTTTCCTTTGTGAGGTGGCCACAAAAGGGGACCAAACAGAGAAACAGATAAGGGCAAGCTTATACGTAGACAGACTGCCTATCAGTGGGGTCTCTGGCATGTGGAACAAAAGGCTTTAGAGAGAGCCCTGGCTAGTGTGGCTCAGCCATCAGAGCATCAGCCCACGGACCAAAGGGTCGAGGGTTCAATTCCTGGTCAAGGGCACATACCTGGGTTGCAGATTCAATCCCCAGCCCTGCTCCGGGTCATGCAGGAGACAACCAATCAATGTCTCTCTCTCACATCAATGTTTCTCTTCCTCTCTCCCTTCCACTTTATCTGAAAATCAGTGGAAAAATATCCTTGGGTGAAGATTAACGGGAGGGGAGGAGGGAGCTTTAGAGAGAAAATAATAGGTCACATACAAAAAGTCAGTAATTAGATTGGATTCAGAATTCTTGACAGCTAGCAGACCACAAATGTTTTCCAAATACTAAAGAAATATTACTTTCCACATAGAATTCTATATCCAGCCAAATTATGAACTGAGAATCAAGATGAAATAAAAACATTTTTAGACAAATAAGACCCCAAACTTTTTCCTAGGCTCAGTAAACTCTTAGAGGCTTTCTCCACAAAAACAAGGACCGAAACCAGGAGAATGAGCCCAGGAGAGGATCAAAAGAAGTATCCAAGATGACAACAAAGATTGTAGGAACCAAACCAGAGACACAGAGAGAGACATATCCATACCATCTGCCATCATCATATCCACTGTCATCAAACCTTCACTTAAACTTTTGGAATACTGGAGGGTGTGCCCCAAATAAAGGAGGAAATAAAGACAGAGAATGGCACCCGGGAGACAGGACTGCCCCTCGAGAAAGACACCCCTGGGATGGCAGTGAAGGGAACTGTGATGGCGGAAAACGCAGACAGCCCTGCAGAGGACAGCGGCAGGCTCTGGCCAGAGGCCTCCAAGAGAATGATGGAAATAATAGACTATCATAGCACTGACTCTGTGGAAAACTGGATTGGTAGGTTATTGGATAGTGTGGGAAGGTTTAACAAGAATAAAGCAAGTGCAAAAAGACAATTACTAACTTTGAAGAGGAAAAGTGAGAAAGGAAATATTATACAATGCATCTTTCTGTATAACGTTTGTATGGGGATATTAATATAACCACCAAATACTGATTTAACAAAAAAAAAAATTTGCTTTTTATCCTCACCTGAGGACATTTTTGCATTTATCTTCAGATAGAGTGTGTGTGTGTGTGTGTGGGGGGGAACATTGATGTGAGAGAGACACATTGACTGGCTGCCACCCACACAACCCCCAACCGGGGCCAGAGACAAACTGTAACCGAGGTATGTGCCCTTAGCAGGAACCGAACCCAGGACTCTCTGGTCCGTGGGCTGATGCTCTAACCGCTGAGCCAAACTGGCCAGGGCTAACCAAAAAAATTTAATATAACTATTTGGGGAGTTTGGGGGGAACAGGAAGCAGAGAGTATTACTACATAAGAGTTAAATTTTTATTACTATAATAAGAAGTCCATAGAATCTAAAATTGGTGGATCAAAGTGAGCCATTTTTTACATATTCTATAGAAATACGGAGATGTGAAAATCCTAAAGAAACAGCTAAAAGGGTTAAGAAGAGGGTTGCATTTTAGGGGTTACTGTGTTGAGATTAGGGCAGAGAATCCACTTTGTTGTAAACATTTAATATAATTTGACTTTTTAAAACTATAGGTTTGTCACCTGGCCGGTGTGGCTCAGTGGACTGAGCATCGTCCAGTGGACTGAGAGGTCTTGGTTCGATTCAGGGCACACGCCCAAGTTTCAGGCTCGATCCCCAGTTGGGAGCATGCAGGAGGCGGCCAATCCATGTTTCTCTCTCACATCGATGTTTCTAGCTCTCTCTTCCTTCCTCTCTCTAAAAAATCAATAAAAACATATTTTTTTTAAAAACCCAAAACTATATAGGTTTGTCTAACTTTGATTTTTTTAAAAAGTCCTTAAAAGACACCTAACCTAATGTCTGTCAAGTAGATATGATGGTAACAGTAATAGCAAACTGATCACATTACTTTTTTATCTTGTGTTTTCTCAGACCAAGGAAACCGTGACATGAAATCATCCAAGGTGTCCACAATAGCATCCACTTGACATTGTTCCAGTTCTGTTTTTCCAGCCAAATCTGTGGAATAGAGAGAGGCCATTTTAAGCCCACAAATACGTTCAACTTAATTTACCAAATTAAACTGTTAACTTTTAAATAGGCAATATATTCCTATGGCTTAAAAATACAACACAATATAAAACGATATCCAGTGAAGACTAACTTCCACCTGGACCCTATCCACCTCATTTCGCTCTGTTACCCACTACCATATTTTTTATTCATTTCTTTTGTTTGTTTGTTTTAAACTTATCTTTATTATTATTATTATTATTATTTTATCCTCACCGGAGGACATTTTTTGATATTTTGTTCAGATAGAGTGGGAGGGAGAGAGAAAGAGAAACATCGACGTGAAAGGGACACATCGAGTGGTCGCCACCCACACGACCAACCAGGGCCGGGGACAAACTGCAACCGAGGTACGTGCCCTTAGCGGGAACCGAACCCTGGTCTCTCTGGACCGCAGGCCGACACTCTAACCGCTGAGCCAAACTGGCCAGGGCTATTCATTTCTTTTGTATTCTTTCATTGTGACTTTATGAAAACACGAGTAACATCCCACGCGATATGTGCCTCGCCCCTTTGTCCTGGAGACTTCTCCTTCCGAGTCACTCGACTTCCTCACTGTTTTCAGCTCCATGGGTTCTTCAGTAGAAGTGCCACAATGTATGTACCCTCCGCTCATTAAGTTTGCTTCCAACCTTTTGCTAATACAAGCAATCCCACAATAAATAACCTGTGTATACACTTTCATTTATTAGATAGAAAGAAGTATTTTCACTTTTGCAGTTTTTGTCAAGAGCATTTGTTGCTAGAAACTATAAGTTTAAAATAATAGAGGTGTGTGTTTTCTCTTGCCATTCATTGATCATCATTTTGCTAAGAAATCATTGGTCTTCCTAAATATGTTCTCACTGGTGTCCATTTAAAATTCTTCAGCGTGGAAGCATTCTAAGATAGATTGCTTTTATACAATTGTGTGCATTTACTAAAAATCAAGGAACTGTGTACTGACCATGAATGAACTGTATACAAATCGCATCTCAGCAAAGATGTTAAAGGGAAAGAAATGCTTTGGTGATTTAGAGTCCTTCTGTAAACTTCCTGTATTTTATGTGTGTGATATTCAGAGGTTGATTCTTCTTTCTAACCTTGAAAAGTCCTTCCAGGACATCATAGGTTCTCTTCACTCATTTTCATTCATACTTTTACTTCCACGTTCAAGTTTGGGCTATGAATTTTATTCAGATGACTACTTATCAATACTTTCAGTCCTCAAGTCCAGGCCTACAGGCTCAGCCTCCTTTTGGGTAGTTTGCTGTGTATCCTTTTGGCCTTCAAACTTCTTTCAACACGTCCCCAAATGGTCCTTGCATCCTGCCTTAAACCAGCTCTTCCTTCTTCATTCATTCAACAAATAATTACTGGGCTCCAGCTGTAGATCGGCTGCAGTTGGGGCTACAGCAGTGAACAAAGAGATAAATTCCTTGTCTGCATGTCAGTTATGGCTGACTGGAGAAGACAGACATAGACCGTCAGGAGCCTGCCTGCCTGCCTTCCTTCCTTCCTTCCTTCCTTCCTTCCTTCCTTCCTTCCAGAGGAGGAGGAGAAAAAGGAGCTATGAGAAGGGCAGACCGTGTCCAAGCTGCCGTGTGCCTGGCCCACACCTTCTTGCTCAGATACACAGCCCTCCCCTGACAGTATCTGTCTTCTAGTCCTTCTGATGATTCTATCTCCACATTTCTCGGTTTTTTCTCCTTCTTTCCTGTTACTGTATGAAATATTTTAATGGCATCCAAGTGTGCACCCCCACCCCCAGTTGTGCTCATCAAATGCAAAGTACAGCCAGAACTCATAATAATAGTTATGTAGCTTTCTGGATAAAAACCTATAAAGGAAGTCAGGCAGAGAAAGCTAAATAATGTATGATCTCACTTATATGTAGAATCTTAGGAAAAAAACACACAAAACAAAGCAAAACTAAAAAAACCCGACTCATCAATACAGAGAAGAGATTGGTAAATGCCAAAGGCAGGGGGTGGGGGGAGTGTGGGCTGGTGAAATGGGTAAAAGTAGTCAAAAATTACAAACTTCCAGTTGTAAGATAATAAATCTTGGGGATATAACGTGCAGCATGATGACTATAATTAATAATACTGTATTGTATATTTGAAAGTTGCTAAGGAAATAGATCTTAAAAGTGCTCATCACAAGCCCTGGCCAGGTGGCTCAGTTGGTTGAAGCATCATCATTCTGTACAATGATCAGCACACATACCTCGGTTGCAGGTTTGATCCCCAGTGGGGGCTCTTACAGGAGGCAACCGATCAATGTTTCTCCCTCTCTCTCTTTCCCTCTCCCTCTCCCCCACTCTCTCTAAAATCAATAAACATATCCTCAGGTGAGGATTAAAAATAAAAATCATCTGCCCTGGCTGGTTTGCTCAGTGGTTGCAGGTTCAGTTCCCAGTCAAGGGCACGTAACTGGGTTGCACGTTTGATCCCAGGCCAGGTTGATGTGTCTGTCTCACATCGATGTTTCTCTTTCTCTCCCCTGCCCACTCCCCTACCTTCCACTCTCTAAAAAGCAATGGAAAAAATATTTGGGTGAGGATTGAAAAAAAAATTCTCATCACAAGAAATATTTGTTACTCTGTGGTGATGGATGTTAACTAGACTTATCCCAATGATCATTTATTAATATATAAATATATAGAATTATTATGTTGTACACCTGAAAATAATACAATGTTATTGACAATTATCTCAATTTAAAAAAACCTACAATTGCTTAAAGAATGACATCCATACTCTGAATCTTTCCAACCGGATCCCAATCTATTTTTCAATCTGTTTCCCTTTCTACTGTCCACTTTCCAAATGTCAAGTGCTTCTCTTTTTCTTATGCCATTTTCTCTCTGCCTGGAATGTTCTAGCCCAGGGATTCTCATTGTTGAGGAAACTGTTAGGAATGCAGACGTTTGGGCCCTTCCCCAGGACGACTGAGTTACAGTCTCTGAAATCGAGGCTGAGCATTTGCTGGAATGAGCCTCCGTACTGTCCTGATGCAGGGAAAGTCTGAGGGGCAAGCCCAAGTCCAAGTCTTCCTCTGGAAGTTCTAGGTGTCCTCTCAGCTCAGCTCAGATGTCGTTTTCACTCTAAGTCAAATGTCCGTGGAGTCAGAAGTAATCTCCATCTCGTCTGAACTCCCAAAGAATTTCACTTGTTGAAGTATGCGTTAGTGCAACAGAAATTTTTATATTTTTGACATATTCTCATTACTTTGGTTCAAAAATAAAGTTTTTTTAGTTCAGTCGTGTAAAGAATACTGTAGATAGATAGGTAGATAGATGATATAGATTATTTATTTTTCAGTTATCAAAAATCTTAAAACACACTACACACATCACCTGTGTTTTTGGTCAGATATCTCGCGATTGCCAGGCTCTGGTGAAGGTGAAGTCCGTCAACTTCCAAAACGGGGATTTTGCCAAATGGAAGAGCTTAAAATAAAATGAGCAAAGAATCAACTTTCAGAATAAAATCAAGAGTTATAATGCTTCCACTTTTTACTGATATTTCTGGAATTAAAGCATGATTTTAAAGTCGTGGAATTCTTGACTCTTCTAAAAGGGACATAAGCACCCTCTAGTGGAATCTACATTTTATGTTGTAAAAAGAGTTATTTGTTAGAAGACCTGCTATTAAGTTAATGACAGAACCAGGTCTAAAACCCAGGTTTACACTGGAACTCTATATTATACCATATATAATCTCATATACTTACATATGCTTACCACTTAATAATTTTTTTTTACAAAAAACCTTTCTTTTAAAGCTTAATTTTTAAGACCTTAATCAGGGATCACATTAATTATTTAAAACCATAGTCTGAGTAATATGCAAAGCTTGATTTACATGTTGAGTTATGGTAAGGAATTTAGCCAAAAATTTTTTTGATGAGGGGCATTTTGAAGTAGTACGGCAGCAAGCATATTTGTACCAATAATAGGACAGAGTGATAGCAGATATCATATCAATATTTTATCTGTAAGTACTACTATGTTTTGTTATCTAAACCTATTATATTTTTGTCAGAGAACAATATATATTATGGAAAAATTCTAAAATAAAAATAGTTCTACTACATAGTTATAACCATTTTAGTCTTTTAATTGCTTTCCCATATATGTTAAAAAAACAAAATTTTAGTGTATATAATTGGGCTTTCATGCAAAGGATATAAATTTTTATCCTCTTTATATCATTTTTGTGTTCAATTTCTGTTATTTGAAATTATATCCTAGCTATCACAAATGTTAAGATCCCTTTCAACTCTAGAAATATGTTCAGAAAATGTGCGATTCCATTTCCAATAACATAATGAAAAGGTAACATGAAATACAGCGTAGCACTCAAAAACATGTCTGAAAGGTGAAATTGGTTACATATACTATCTCTACAATTTGCAATCTATCTTGACTTAATTAGTGGATAAAATTAATTTTCACCTATTTTATGTCCACAAAATTAAAAACCCCATATAAAAATTCTGATATCGGAAGAAACATTTGGATATTAATGGCAAAATTTCATGAGAACAAAAAGTAAAATATTCTGTCTCACCAGAGAAGAACTCTCTGATAACAAAAAGGATGACTTTTAAGGAACTTATGCTTCCAAAAGGCAAGTAGCGATATTTATTGTTAATAGGCCATTTATCATGGTATTGTTGTTATTAGCATTATCTAGTGCAAGAAACTTGGGCCATAGTATTAAGCGACCTGTGTTTGAAAATTGCTACTGCTGTGAACTTGGAAAAATTGCCTAAACTCTGTGTGCTTCAGTTACCCCAACTATAAAATAGAAATAGTAATACATTTCATGTAGGCATGCTAGAGAACGTGCATAAAACAGAGTCTGCAGAGTGTCTACCAAGTGCCAGATGGTCTTCAAGGACCCAATAGGTATTTTCTTCAACTTCATCTTTATATGATTTTATAATAAACGAGTCATAAATATGTTGATTTTAGACATATAATTAATATTTAGTTAGTATTTACAGATAACATGGCAAACATCTGGAGGAAGACTTACAGCTCACTGAGAAACACACACTGTTGTCTGTTTAACGTGATGATATTTCCAGTTCTTCCCCATTGTCCGGAACAATAAGTAGCAGGTTTTGATTGGGTTCCTGCCCAGTTTGTCCATTTGCTCTCTGAACAAACAGACCCGTTTTGTTTATGTATCCACCCCTCTCTTACAGAATCCCATGCCTCATAACAACTGATTCCGCCCCCAACTTCACAGAGGGGCTGGATGGTTCCCAGGTTCTTCCCTTTGCCAGCGATTGATTCAGAAATGGACAAGTGACTCCATTTGAGTTAGTGAGACATGAGAAATGTGCTGAGGTCTTCTGGGAAAGTTTTCTTCATTCTTCCAGGAACACTTACGGACGCACTTCTCTCCCTTACTCCTTCCCATTGTATCTCCTCTTAATGTTGCTGTTCAAGGCTGCGAGGCTGGGACTGCAGCAAACACATGGCTACCAGCCTCATGATGCAGCCAACAGAGGAGGAAGGTGGATAGAGCCATCCTTGGAAACCTGTTCTACCTCTGGATTTTCAGTTATGTGATATAGTTTATTTCCTTATCATTCAAGTCATTTTCAGTTTGGTTTTCTGTTAGAGAAGTACATCTGATCCACTGTCAAAACATTATAGAGATCTGTGGCAAGCCCATCCAACTCCACTGGTCAAGAATATTGACTTCAATATCGCCAGTTAGCTCTAATGATAAAACTTCACATTGGGCCCTGGCCAGTTTGGCTCAGAGGTTAGAGCATTGGCCTGCAGACCAGAGAGACCTGGGTCCAATTCCCACTAAGGGCACGTGCCTCCGTTGCAGTTTGTCCCCGCTCTGGTCATGTGGGTGGCAACCACTCAGTGTGTCTCTCTCACATTGATGTTTCTCTCTCTCTTCCTCCCTCTCGCCCTCCTGCTCTATCTGAGGATAAATGCAAAAATGTCCTTGGTCCTCGGGGAAGGATAAAAAATAAAACAAAACTTCACATCGGTTTATCTTTGTATTCTCTTTCTGTGGTGTTTGTATTTTTACCTCAAATAGAAAATTTTCTGGGTCACTGCATTTATTTAACTTTTCGGAACTGCTGTTTCTCAATATAAAGCTTTGTAAAATTAAAATCTTATATTTTTTTATTATCCTGAAGAAAGAAAGCATTCTAGAAACATATTTTTCCTACGTGTTCATCAACTATCATTTGTGCTACTTACTTGGTTTGATTTCAGGCCAATCAGCTAGTTCTATTCTGTGATCTTCATACTTTATGTCCAAATATGCAAATATGTAACGAATAATTTCTGCTCTCCCCCTCATATTAAAATAAGTGAGTTTGTAGCTTGGCATTGTGTGATTCTGGAAAGAGAAAAATGGAGGAATTATTTTTAAAGCCCTCTAGAGATGTTTCAACATTTTTCTTTGGGACATTTTGAAAACTTTATGGCATCTTTTAAGATAACTAGAGACATTAGAAGATATTTCAAAACCAGAATTGTAAATCACTATCCTAATAACATATGGGAATGACTTGAAATAACATCATGACTCTTTTTAAGAACTTGCTGGAACATTCCAGTGAAATACCCAAATTCAAATTTTATTATAAAAAGACTTCCGAGTAAAAGGCTATCTGCACACCAACCTCCAGAGGACGGAGTCAGAGCTTTTCATTTGAAGATGCCTTTGCTCTGCCTTTAGTCACGTGTGATGGATGGTGTCTGACACGTGGTTTGTTGTTTGCTTTGCTGACACAGCTGGGTTTGTGAGGACAGTTGGGTACGGGTTGCAAGGGCAGGGCACCTGCAACAGGAACGTGAGCCACCAAGCCAACCTGCCATGCCCTCTCTTCCCTCGCCCCTGGCTTTTCCCTGCAGGAATAAAAGGCTGAGGAAACATTGCCCTCCTTTCTTTCTTACTGATCCATGCTGCTTGGCTTTCTTGGGTTGCTTGCACCACACAAACATACCCCATCTTGGGGACCTCTGTTGAGATGGGACAATGGTGAGTGTGTTCTTCCATTCTCTCTGTAGAGGAGCAAGGGAGAGAGAGCAAACTTTCCTAATATTTCAGGGAGTTTTCTAACTCTAGCTATGTTGGCTAGATGTACATCGTTATAATTTTGTGTTTTTTGTGATTTGTATAATTCCATTTCCATTGTTTTTAAACAATTATTTTACACACTAATTGTAGATTGTTTTACAGTAATTAGGCAACTGAGAAAGAAAAAATTTCATTTGCAATTTAGTTCTTCCATGTAGTTAGTTGTGTATTTTTGACCTAGTCAACAAAATCTCACTGAATTTTAAATCCCACTTTTTATAGATCAAGATACTAATATGGATTTGGGGATTTAAATAGGTGATACATGTAAAGCATTTAGAACAATGCTAAACACTTAATAATTATTAGCTATTAATAATAATAACTTTGAACTGGTTCTATAGTAAAGAATAAACACTGTGAATGGAACACACTAAAATAAATAATTATAGTAATTACGTAAATAAAAATCTTAAGTAACATTTATTTAAACTGGCAAGTTTAAATATTTTATTCCCTGCTAAGAAAGTCTTTCAAAGATATTATTGGAATATTAGATAAAAAGAAAAGTTGGGCTCAAGCCTCAAAATTTCATCTGAAATCACATCACAAAAAAGGTCAAACATAAATCATAAAAGCCTAGATTTCTGCATGGCTGGTGTGGCTCAGGGGTTGAGCATCGACCTATGCACCAAGAGGTCGCTGGCTCAATTCCCGGTCAGGGCACATGCTGGGTTGTGGCCTCCATCCTTGTTGGGGGACTTGCAAGAGGCAGCTGATCAATGTTGATGCTTCTCTCTCTCTTATCAATGTTTCTATTTCTCTCTCCCTCTCCCTTTCTCTTTGTCTAAAAAATCTGAAAAAAATAAAACAACCCTAGATTACCAAACTCATATTTCAAGTCCATGCATTCATGCTATCTATCTGTGGAGAGAGGATGCCTGAAAACCACTGTCTGGTCGCCTATCTAGAACCCTTCTGGATCCAGAAAATGGTGGTGATGGTGCTTCCTAAGGTGTCTGCCTCTGGGCCCAGGTTTGCCATGTCCAGCTGTGGAGTGGAGACGGTGCTCCTTGCTAGAAGCAGTCACCCTAATAGGTCTGTGCACTGTCCCTCTCGCTCGCCAGTCCAGACGCCACCCAAGTGAAATGTGGTACATGTCACACATAGCAATGCGTGAGGGAATGGTCTCTGTAGAGAAAAGAATTCACTGGAGTAAACGAATAAATATTCCAAGATTAACAGCCCTAAATTTCTTTGGGAAAGAAGTGTGCATACAGGAAGTTCAAAGTTGGGGAACTAAATGAATTGCCCATCAGAACAATGAGACTATTCTCAAGTCCCTTAGAAATGCAGAGCGTAGAAATAACTAGTGGGACAGACAGGAGAGCACAAAAATGTAAATTAAAAATGTGAAGTAGTAGATTTCCTTCTGAAAACGGAAACATTGTATGTGATCATAAAGGAAAATATTTTATCTAAGAAATAAAAAGTGTAATTTTATACCTTAATCTATTTGTTTAAAATCTCAAACCGAAATAAAAATAAAAACTTCAGAGTAGGAAAAGTGTCATTCCTTGTTACAGTTTCTATTTGAAAGTACTTTACACAATTTTTTTTTTTTTTTTTTTTTTGGTACGTGCCCCTAGCAGGAACTGAACCCAGGACTCTCTGGTCCGCAGACCGACACTCCAACCGCTGAGCCAAACCAGCCAGGGCAGATTTTACATGGTTTTTTAAATTGATTTTTGTTGTCATAAGTCTGTGGTTCCACGGCAATAAAGAAATGATATATTTTTCTTATAAACAGTATTTGTATAAATAGATTCCTATATATCCATTATGATCAACATTAAAATGTAAACATATAACCTCTCATTTGGTCAAATGACACACTCCTCAATTCTGCATGAAAACAAAGGGTTGTTTGTTGTTAATTTGCAACATTATGCTATTTTATATTGCATTTCACTCAAGTAAAGAAGATATTTAAAAACTCTTGGCATAAGTTGGTAGTTATCTACATTTCTCTGCAAATATATCTTTAAATCTAAGACTTGGCAAAGGTCTGTGAACATCTGACAAATGCTTATCTTTCCTCCCAGAACATCCTTTCAACAGTCAGAGCTCACTGATGAAGCTGTGCTGGCACATCGTATTCCTGTAGTGACTGCATAATTATGTTTTCTACTGGACGAGGGTCTGTTTTCTTGATTTCTGCAGCTACAAATCCCAAACTTGAAGACTTTTGTCTTTCAGGATGTATGTGCTCTTTTTTTATAGCCAAAAATAAAAAAGAGTAAAGGTAAATGCAGTTGGAAACATTTACTAATTCTAAAAATCCTTTCTATATTTTGTAAAGCTTTTGCTCAAAGACTAACATTAGGAATTTCAAGTCAATGTTTCTAGATGGCCAGTGAAAATAGATAAGGACATTTACCAAAGAGGCTGAAGATAAATAGAGGATAGTGTCTAGAATAATATATATTTTCCCCTCTTCCTGCGTTTAGCACTATATCTCTGTCACAAGAATCTCACTTTATTATTATTTTTACAATATTTTTTCTTTATTGATTTTAGAGAGAGAGGAAGGCAGAGGGAGAGAGACAGAAACATCAATGAGAAAGAACATGGATTGGCCGCCCCCTGCATGCCCCCCACTGGGGATTTGGCCCACAACCTGGGCCTGGGCCCTGACCGGGAATCGAACTGGCAATCTCTTGGTGAATCGGTGAGCTACACCAGCTGGGCCAATAATCTCACTTTATTAAAGACTTTATTTCATGAGGATGATGGACGAAAAGGACAAAGGTAAAACATATCTCAGCCCCCACCAAGGGATGCAGTGAGGAAGGTGCGGCTTCGGAGTCAGCCCCGACACTACCTGAATGGTCTTGGGCAAGTCGCCTGTTCTTAGCTTTAGTCTCCTTACCTGTAAAATGGTAATGAAAGTATTATGTGTAAAATACAGTGCTTTGCACATAGTACGAGTTGAGAAAAAAGAAAATAAAAAGGGAGAGAGGGGAAGAGGAAGAAAGGGAGGTACTATTCCCGCCCTAGGAGAGGTGAGCGTCCAGCTTTGTGTGATTGGACCGAACTCAAACCCTCAAGATCGTGTTCTTTGATAAACCCATCCTGCTGCAAGCACATAAAAATAAAAAATGAAGTAAAAAAAAGAAAATATATACCTAGGATTAAAAGCAAGATAAACTTTGCAGCCCAAGTGAACAGAAACAAATGCAGTGAGCAAGAGTCCAGATTCTAAGAGAGGTGGGCCAGCCTGGAGTTTAGTTCCTTCAGGATGAAGGAGAATAAAATCCTTACACAAGATGGGAGACTGGAGGGATGTCGTGCTTGAAACTAGGGTCTAGCAGCTAGTTCTATACATTTTTATTTTTTTAAGGTCAAATTGCAAATCTCCGGTATAACTGATAAAGGGAGAAATATGTGAAAAGTCACAAATAATATTACAAATAAAAAGAGGTCATAGCAGCAGATAGAGCAGATCATTAGCAATTTATAAGCTACCACGACAAATAACTTTATGACACTGAATCTAAGCCCTTAAATGGGAAGTTTTTGAGAGGTATATAAACTAGCACAATCAAATGAAAAAGAAACTGAGAGCCTGCATTTAACAATAATCAGCGAAGAAACCCAATTGGTAATTAGTTACATTCATGAAAGTTAGAGGACCCAGATAATTTTACAGGTGAATTTTACTTAATTCAAGGGAGAGGTAATTCTTGGCTTTTACAAGTAGTTTCAGAGAACTGAAAAATGAATAAAGTTGGTAGATATTAAAAGAGGAAGTTTATAGATTAATTTTACTTATAAACTTAGATATAAATACCCTAAATAACTTATTAGCTATTCAAATTTAGTAGTGTATGAAAAGAAATAAAATACAATGACAAGATACGGTTTATCCCAGGAATGGAAGATGTTTCAACACAAAATATCTATCTGTATAATCTGTATAATAGTAATAGATTAAAAAAGAAAAATAATAAATCATATTACCTTCTCAGTAGATGCAAATAAACACCTTTTAAAAAGTGTATAAAATTAACCACTCATTTGTGATGAAAAATCTTAAAAAATAAAAAAACTCTTAGCCAACTGGAAATACAGAAAAACTTCCTAAATGTACTAGTCTCTACAAAAAACTCAGCGTAAATATCATCCATAATGGAAAACCAACAGCAGCATTTTCTTTAATGTCAGGAATAACAAGAACCCCACTGTTACCCTTACTATTCAGCATAGTCCTGGATGCCTAGTTAATTCATTAAGATACGAAAACAGTAAATAACATATGTAAGGAACGGAAAAGAAGAGACAAAACTATCCTTATTTGCAATCAAAATGATTTTCTGTATTCAAAATCCAGGAGAGTCTACAGATACAACGGGTCCTAAATTTCAAACGGAAACGCTGAGGACCAAGCTAGCCAAGACAAATGCAAAGAACCAAGGAAAGGACTGGACCGACCAGATAGCAAGACATATAGAAAACCTTGCAATTCAGGGAATGTGACCCTTTGTTCAGAACTAGACATACCGAGGAGCATAACATCTCAAAACAGAACCTCCGACACACACAGTAGACATGACCTTACAGTGGGACATGAAGGGACCAAACTAAAGTGGTTCTGAGACCAAAGAGTTAAATTAGACACAGTTAGATTCCAACTTTACATAATACGTGGAAGTAACATCCAGGTGGATTAGAGAGCTAAGCATGATTTGACTGGCCTAGGCAAATTCTAGGGTCCCGCTGGCTCGTGTTTCCCGCTGGCCCGGTTTCCGAGCCCTCCGGCTGTCATTCTGTGTTAAGACCCCGTGTGGACAGGGACAGTGGCACACATTTCCTGAAATGATACAGAAACGGGAAGTTTCAAAGTTGATGGTGCTTAAAGATCTCCTTTACTCCTGAAACTAACCACGGCCTGCCTTCCGCTGCAGAGAAAGTCATGTCAAGTTCCTGAGTCAGCAGGCAAATAAAAGGCCCTCTTAGCATTCTGTTTGAAAAATAAGATATATAGTGTCTCAAAACAAAAAACATGAATAAGGACTAATAAATACCCTGGAAAGAAACTTTCACGTATGAACTCATATGAATTTAGTCATTGAATGCAAAAGAAGAGTTAGCTTTAATATATGCTAACCTAGTTTAGAAAGTAAACCTTTTACATGGAACAAAACAGTGTTTTTGAAAAGTTCTGTCTTAGGTATTTTCTTTCTTTCTCCTAGGTTTGTAGCTCTTTTTACTTCATATAACAATGGTATATTTCAGTGCAGTAGTTTGATAGTTTATTGTAGTCATAGTTTGATAAAATACAAACTATCATAATAAAACCATTTTATTTTAACTAAGGCAATATTTTATTCTGCACATTGTTGTAAGAGTAGAGTGAAACGGTCTCAGAAATTCTAGTGTTTATGTTAGAAAGGTGACAGCAATCCAAACGTAACTCTCTAGCGAAGGAGGCTAATATTCAATTATTTTGTTACGCGCCTTAAAGATTTCAGCAGGTAACTGAAGAAAGGGATGGAGAGTAATTTTGATAGATAGAAAATTTACAAGTAAGGAATTCTTAACCATTTTACAGTTCAATCCAGAAGCTAACTGCTACTTATCCTAATTTATTTTATTCATGAAAGTGTTGGCCTACACAAGCAAGCTCTTATTCTTAAATAAAAGGAACTTCAGACATACTCAGGAATTCTAGATATAGTTTTATATATGCCTGTGGAGTTTATTTTCTTTTTTTAATGCCTATGAGTTTTAAGTATGAAAACAAAGATGGCTTGTGAATTTGCCAACAGTTCTTTGTTACAACTTAACTTGACTGTAATAATGAGAGTACAATCTGCGTGCTCTCATTGCACAGACTGCAGTGTTTTGAAATGCAACAATTAGATTCAGAAAGCAATCACATGAGAGGTTATTCTCCAGGCGAGAATTTCTTGAACATACTGACATTAAATAACAGCAGTGTACTACCCACTAACAGTTGGTGGTAAAGTATGCTCATTTCCCTCATTCTCAGTGTGCCTGAGCATTTCCAGTTCAGTTCTGGATAAGTTGCCAAGTTGGAGTTAAATTGTAGGACAATAAAGAAACATAAGAATTTTTGTTAACTGAGTAAGTTACGAATTTTAATCAAACACTAGATGTTTAACTTTGAATTAGCAAGGCAAGATATCTATTTTCCTATCAAAGACCAAGTGAATAATCATATTAAATGGTTGCCTCAGCCCTGGTCAGTTTGGCTCAGCGGGTTGGATTCCCAGTCAAGGGCACATACCTGGGTTGCAGGTTCGATCCTCTGGAGGCAACCAATCAATATGTCTCTTTCACATCTCTCTCTCCCTCTCTCTTTCTCTCTCTTTCTCCCCCCGTCCCTCCCTCCCTCCATTATACTCTATCTAAAAAAATCAGTGGAAATATCCTTGGGTGAGGATTAACAAAACAAACAAACAAACAAAATGATTGCCTCATATTAAATCCAAAGCAAGAGGAATAATTAAAATATCCTTTGGGAGCTGTGAGTTCAAATTTCTGAGCTGGAGTAAACACCTTAAATGATCTTTGAAACCAAATGACAATAGAATGCAATTCTTGGCAAAACATGGGGACACATCAACAAAATGAGCTTTAAAGTGATAGAAAATATTATAAATAGAGTACTTTTTTTTTTTTGCTTGACTAAAAGAGGCCCTTCCTCTCAAGGAGTACTCAAAATCTCCCACAGGTGCAGGATCAGCATTTGCTGCCCTGAGAGTAAGTGTCCCCTTAAACTGTGCCCTGGGTGCCTCGCTTAGCCCCAGTCCTGGCCCTGGAGGAGAGGACTTATAACAACGGCAATGGCCAAGATTTACTAAGAGTCACTATGTGCTAGTCACTGTGCTAAGAAAGAGCATTTGATGTGTTAAAGAAAGTGGAAAACTATGACATTCTCTACTGCCTCACACACTGAAAACATCACTTGGGAAAATTCTGGAACAATTCACAAAACTGATTAGGACAGGATTTTCCCTCTGGTATTGACTGTATTTTCTAGGTTAATATCCACTTGAAGGGTCTTTTAGAAATCTCTTAAAATTGCCCTAGCCGGTTTGGCTCAGTGGTTAGAGCATCGGCCTGTGGTCCAGAGAGACCTGGGTTCGGTTCCCGCTAAGGGCACGTACCTTGTGTGCGGTTTGTCCCCGGCCCTGGTTGGGTCGTGCGGGTGGCAACCACTCGATGTGTCCCTTTCACATCAATGTCTCTCTCTCTCTCTCTCTCTCTCCCTCCCTCCCACTCTATCTGAACAAAAAATGGAAAAATGTCCTCTGGTGAGGATTAAAAAAAAAAAGAAATCTCTTAAAATCTCCTGTACCTATATTTCACTTAGAAACTACCCTTTGACTTAAACTTGGCCACCAACATAGAGAGGCTCCGAATGAGGCCAGGTGCACGTGAGTGAAATGACATGAGTCAGGACAGCAGCTCAGTCACACACAGACTAGGAAAGTAATAAAAATAAAGCCCTAGAGTCAAGAGTAAAGACTATCTCGTTTCTTATCTTTGTAGAGGGCAATCATTATCACTTACTTGTGCTATGTCTCTCTGGAGTCTCTAGTTTCTTCTACGCCCTCGTGTGTGACTGCACTTTGAGTTTATATGATGAGTAACTGAGGGTGACAAGCCAATGAGAGAAGAGGTGACTTCCTTCCACCTAAGTCTCTTCCTCCATTTCTTAGATGAAATAATGCCTGCCAAACAGTTCAAGCCTGCAAAGACTTCTGGTTATTCTTGGCATTTTATAGGATCTCTGTGTATGCATAACCTGACCTATTTGCATACAGTGGGTAAAGTCAAATTTAATGGTGTTGAGTGTGCCCATTGCTACTCGTGCATTTATTTTTAAAGTCTCACACGTAGGCTCCTGGAGAGTGAGCAAATGTTAGTATGAGTGAACCCTCTTTATAGAGATGCACATGGTTTACCTCCGTGCTTCACTGGGTCTGTTTGGGGAAATCTTGGCTCACCACCTCCTCACCAGAATCCTCCTCCCGCAGTCTCATCCTTTACCTGCTGTATGTTCCTTCATCACTGTGTCTGACAACAGGGGGCATTTTATTTGTCTGCCCCAGTAAAATGTAAGCTCCTTAGAGCAGGCACTTCATTGTTTAGTTTACTGTGCCATCCTCTGAATCTAGAGGAGAGCAGGGACATCATCAGCACTAATATATATCTGATGAATGGATGGTCTCAACTTATATTTCTTTTATTTTCTTTATTGATTTTAGAGAGAGAGGCAGGGAGAGGGAGAGATGGAAACATTGATGAGAGAGAACATCGATTGGCTGCCTCCTGCATGCCCCCAACTGGGGATTTGGCCCACAATCTGGGCATGTGTCCTGCCCCGGAATTGAACTGGTGACCTCTTGGTGTATGGGTCAACGCTCAACCACTGAGCCACACCGGCCAGGCTCAGTTTATATTTCCCCACAATTTTTACAAGGACTCTGAATTCACATTGCTGCTGGTGTATTTTACTCACGCTCACGTCTCAGAAGGGCCGTATCGTTTAAAGTAAACCTGGAGGGGAAGATTCCAGTACAGCTTGTTGATCATCTTTATACTGATTGGTAACCAGTGCGTAAATGTTTTTTAAAAATATATTTTCATTCCTTACTGCAGAAATTAATTCCAGTTAGGACAGCTCAGTGAACAGATCCAGTAACATACCTGCCTGTGCACTGCTGGGCTTGTAGATTATCCATGAAACTTTTCATCACAGGCTGGCTCTCAGCTTCCAGGAAGTTATACTCATGGGCAGCAATAGCAACCGATCAGTCATGTAATTTTTCCTTTTTCCAAGCACTTTAAACTTTAAAAAATGTGCTTGCACCCATTTACTGTAAACCTAAGAAATAGAAGTAAATATAAATGTTAGTCTGTACAAAGTTTAATTGCAAAGGCATAGTTAACTCCTTACCTGCCAAAGAGATGTATGTAAGTCAAAATCAAGTGCCAACGAAATGGGAGCTATACAAAATCAACACACTATATTTATGATCTTTCACTGAGATTTAACTTACATTTAAAAAAAAAACTTCTTGCCCTGGCCGGTTTGGCTCAGCGGTTAGAGCATTGGACTGCCGTCCAGAGAGACCCGGGTTCGGTTCCCGCTAAGGGCATGTACCTCGGCTGCAGTTGGTCCCCGGCCCTGGTTGGGTCATACAGGTGGCAGCCACTCGATGTGTCCCTTTCATGTTAATGTTTCTCTCTCTCTTCCTCCCGCTCTGTCTGAACAAAAAATGGAAAAATGTCCTCGGCTGAAGATAAAAAAACAAAAACAAAACTTCTTGCCCTTACCGGAATCATTTTGTAAAAAATATGTTTGTATTGATTTTTAGAGAGAGAGACAACAATGTGATGGAGGAACATCGACCAGTTGCCTCCTGCACGCCCCGCGACCCACACCTGGGCAAGTGCCCTGACTGGGACTCGAACTGGCGACATTGCAGCGCACGGGAAGGTGCTCACCCAATGGAGCCACACCAGCCACGGCCCAGCATCATTCTTCATCCCCATCTTATAGATGCGGAAACAGAGATATGGGGAAATTAGGTAAGTTGCCCAGGAATTTGGGGTGGACGAGCTAGTGCCCTCAGTGCCTTGCTTGGCGGGTAGTTACTGCTTGATAAGTATCAGTGGCTATTTCCTATCTCTTTAATAATGGAAAGCTAAATATATATATTTTTAAATAGCCTACATGTAGTTCCTCTTTATTTGTTTATTTTGGTAAAGGGGAGTGTTCAAAGGACCCACTGCTACTTCGTCTGGCTGCTCCCGTGCAAGCCGGAGCTCCCTCCCTCAGCTTGTCCGCCTCCAGCCAGTTCTTCTGACACTTTTAAACCAAAGTGTTTAAACCGGGGTAGAGGAGGCAGGAAATGAAGGGTGTGTTTCTCTTTCTGCTTCTAACCTACCTGGGTAACTGAAATGTATTTGTAAATCTTTAGTGTCTTTGTTCTCCCCGATTTCAATAGTGATAAGGCTATTTTCCTTATTTTCAGATGCTGTGAAGAATGATACAGTGTCTCCAAAGTCGTGAGTAAATATTTTTTTCTGCTCAGCTCTTTGGCTAAAAGAGGATTCCCAGATGTAAGCAAATAATGGTCATATAAATAGCTAATATTTGTTAACTGCTTCCTGTGGGCCAGACATTGAACCAAGTGCGTGCCATACTTTATCTCATTTAATTCCCACAAAACAACATTCCAGATGGTGTGCACAGTCTTGAATACAGGTATGTCACCGACTGGGGCACGCCAGGAGAGCCTTTCTGGATGCGCAAATTCTTAAACATTCGAATCGTATTCATGAGATTTCATTTTCGCTCTTCTGTTAAGAATGGGGAAAGTAAGCATTCAAGTTAAATTGTTTGTCAAGAGTGTTCCAGAATCAGTGACTGTTGCCTCTGGGTCATTCTAACATCCTTGGTCGGAGAATCCCGCCTCTGCCTTTCCCTGTCCTAGAACCCGAGGAGTCTTGTTTCCTCTCGGTCCTTGGAAAATAAAAGAGTTGGCCTAGTTACCTCTGAAGTCACTCTCTGTTCTACTACTCAATGATATAATCCCCCTCCCCATGCCCAGGACATTTCTTTGTCTTCCATGAAAACAAAGTCCAAAGACACACAGAGTTCTTGTCCCCAGACCTAGCAACAAGGACCAGATACTCAGATCGATGGAAGGCCCCCCTCTCTGATAATCCCAGGTCACAGCATAGACTTACTTTTTACAGGCTAAAGTAATGCAGACAAAAGTGTAATTCAGGAAAATTTTTTTTTGGTGAGGTTAAAGTACTTTCCTAGAAGTTATCAAGAAGGCAAGCAGCCCTGGCCGGTTTGGTTCAGCGGTTAGAGCATCAGCCTGCGGTCCTGAGAGACCCAGGTTCGGTTCCCGCTAAGGGCGCGTACCTCGGTTGCAGTTTGTCCCCGGCCCTGGTCGGTTGTGTGGGTGGCAGCCACTCGATGTGTCCCTTCGCGTCGATGTTTCTCTCTCTCTCTCCTTCCTCTCTCTCCCTCCCACTCTACCTGAACAAAAAATGGAAGAATGTCCTCGGGTGAGGATTAAAAAAAAAAAAAAGAAGGCAAGCAACCCAAATGTATCTTATAGAATGATTTGTGCATCTGTATTTTTTATGTATTTGGAAAATATGTTAATCTAAAGAGGTGTGTTTTCCTCATGAAATCTAGAGAGAGAAGGTATTGGAGAATAAAAATGTATTACAAAACTTCCAGGACAACAGGGGACTAATAATAGCAAACCCTGGTATTTGTGCTGCTCGTGTACCCGGTGCTCAATGCTTTCATTTGCCAAGGTCTCAAACTCACCAGGCAGCAGATCCAATATTTGAGTGTGAGCGATATTTACATGTACGTGTAGCTTTCTTTAGCCTGACAATACATATCAAGCAAATTTCTGATCTAAATCCTTTCTTCTAAGCAGGTTTTTTTTTTCACCATCTATTCTAGAAATTGATTTTGCATGCCTTCATATCAAACACGTAGGATTTCTGGCAAAATTATTTCAAACAGGCCTGTAATGCAAAGAGAGGAAATTGCTTCGAACAAAGGCAATCTTGTTTCGCCGACTCCAGTAACATCTGCTGCCCCTGCCTGCAGGGGAAACAGCCTAGTGACAGGAGAGTTCTAAGATGACCGCATAAGTTGGATGAAGCTTCAATCCTTTACAGAACAGACTTCTACAAGAATATTTTTAAAAATAGTTTGTTTAAGCAAAGAAGAAATAGTTTTCATTTATACCCAAGTAACAAAAATTTCCAGAAAATAATGAACACAGTTATACTAAAAATATTTTTCTGGCCTCTACGATACATTTTTGTTACATGAGTACTTTGGTTCTTCGTGAGTCTGAGCCATATGGATAGAAAATATCAGCTGTTTCCAAAATTCTGGGACCTAGTCCACGAAGGCTGGAAATGGTGTTTCCTGGCAGTGCGTACATTTTGTTGATGGAAACAGTTTCGATAGCTCATAGGAAGCCACAACCTCAATTAGGATGAACCGCCATAGTCCCGGGAAACGATCCAGGCTTGTCACTAGGCCTGGGGTTTAAAGAATTTATATAAATGATTAAAAATTTGTCATCTGTGAACATCAACTGAAAGATTATGTGTAAATGTGAGTCTGTAAAGAGCCGAGTGCTTCCTAAATGTTAATATGGTTTCTATGGCCCATGGCGCGTGTGTCAGGCAGACAGGTGTGGTGATCACGGCAGTCTGCCGTTCCCTAATGTGGTTTTGAGCATTTGACCATTCACTTCCTTCCTCAAAATCCGTTTGATTTCTTCTCCAAGTTTTATGTCCTTTCAAAGAGCAACCTGCCTCCACCAAATACTTCTGTTTAATCAAGGAATGAAAAGTATACACATACGTGCGAAATTAACATGAGATTGTCACTCAGTTAACATTCATAGCAACCAACATGTACTGAACACTGGTACCATCACGGCAAGGTGTCTCCTGTACAGATTTGTTTTTATGACATGTGCTTTGGGTATTGGGTAATTCTTAAAAGAAAAGAAAAAACTCGGTAAGACCATTTTCGGGTTCCCATCACTACGATAGAAGGTGCTGTAACAGGTGAAAGTATTCCCTTTCC